GCACGCTCTTAAGTGCGTACGTATATTATATTTTTAAATTTGAATCACTTTTATGATATCATAAGATATTTAAGTGTAAAAGTTTATGATATGAATAAAAGAATAAAAGGTATGTATTAAGCGTTAAAATATCTCCCTTATTTTTTTAATTAATTTAATCTAATATTATAATTCATTACAAATAATAATTACGTACATTATTCTGTTGTATTTTTTAAGTAAATATATCAAAGTTTTAAATTCTAATGAAATTTTTGAAATTGGATTATATTTTTTATTAATGAATAAACATGTAATTTTACTTAGTTAATTAGCCACAAGTGACAATTTTTATTATATAATTAAAATTTGATTTATTTTTATGCGCCATAGTAAATCTCAAATTTAATGATAGATAAAATTATTATTTTAGCCGTAACTCTCAAAAGTTTAGAGATAAACTATGATTATTTTTTTACTAATGAATAAGATATAGATTTAATAAAATGTTGACGGGTCGATATAAGTTTTGTATTATTACTTTTTGATTAGTTTTAGTTTTTGTTGTTAGGGGGATAGGCAAGGATAGCCCATATACTTAGATCTGTAGGTTCATTGTGTGAACTTCATAACGAATAATAGTAATTCCATTTCTTTTCTAAATATTTCTTTCGAAGCGTTGTTACCATTGATTAGTATGTCTAACACTATATAGAGTGATTTTTATATTCGATGCGAAGCTCAGAAGGTAATGGTTCTACTATGATGTGTTATTTTTGTATCTATTACAACTTTTTCAGCTCTCACCGAACCGATTTCTTTCAACGATACTTCAAAAGATCACAAATCGTATCTAGTCGAAGAAATTACCATCGAAAATTGAAAAAATGTCCCTCGATCCCAGTAAATGGAGGAAATCTCCAAAAAAATTACATATATAAAAATCGCTATTTATCGATATATTTGAAATTTTTTTTTTTAAAAATGTTATATATTTTTCAAAAATGACCGAATTATTTTTTTTTATAAAAGCATGACGTCTTTACCTTTTATTTGGTACATTTTTTTTTATAAATCTGACCCTTTACCTGCCCACAGAGGGTATTCAAAACGACAACTTTTTTACAAAAAATTAACTTTTTCAACTTAACTTTTGAAAGTGTTCCTGAAACTCTGAAACTTTTATATATATCTTAAATTAAAGCTAATGTAATGTACTTTATTATGGAAAAAAAAATTTTCGGACTTTATTTTGTCTTCACGGTAAAAATAGTTACCAAATGCTATTTTTGTGTGAAAATTCTCGATTTTATATTTTACATTTTTAATTTTATTATGCTATAATTTGTTGAAAAATGTATGGATCAATACAATTTTTTCATGAGTAGTAATACTTATATACATCTTTCATTTGACATACTTTATCTTAATCAGGATATAAATAAGGAAATAGCAAATCATGTAGATTTTGTAATAATCCACCAATTTTTTAAAATTAAACACTATCTAAAGTTTTAAATCGAAGTATTTTTTATGATAGTGATTTTAATCAATTTGAAAACTTTTATTTATTTATAATTAAGTATCCAGAAAGATTATTGGATCGCAGAAATACTCGTGTGGATGTAACCATGGACTTACATAGTAAATAAAAGTAATAAGTAATAATATCAATTTTAGAAGTGATAGAAAACGTCTAATTGAAGATTTGAAAGCAGCATGAAAAGTTATTTTATAAAAGTATATTTTTGCTTTTGATGAAAGTTCCTTGTAGTCCTGTGTATTTATTCATAAGTAACGACAATTTTTCATTGAAAAGTATTGCATCAAACCATTTAAATTTTTATACACGTTAAAAGTAAAGAAATATACAACTACTTTACTATTTTTATAATTTCTCCGTATATATTGCAATATTAAATTATTGAATATCAATTTCATACTAAATTTAATTACTATAATTATTATTTATTCATATATTATACTTTTAAATCAAAGAATAACTAATCAGGATATAATTAAATGGGAGTTAATTTTGCTTTTGATATAATCCACCAACTTCTTAAAATTAAACTCTATCTACAAATTTGTATCGAAGCGTTTCTTAAGATGTTGATTTTAATCACTGTCACATATCATCTATACTTGTCCCAACTATACCGCGTCCATACTGTGCCGCGACCCCACTGTGTTACCGTTTTTTGTCTAGTGTTATTATGTTTTTTTTAAATTTATTCTGGAGCATGTCAATTCTTATTTTTATTTTATTTAATATTATAAATTTCAAACTTGAAGTTCAGCTAATAGTTATGGTTACATATTCAACTTTTTTTTTATTATAAACTTTCAAAAAATCAATTTTAAAAACCAAATAAATAGGTTACAATTGATATTTTGCAATGATTATTTTTAACATATTAAAAATCAAAATCTGTAATAATTTAAAAACATTTTTTTCTTGTTTTTTAATTATTTTTTCATTGTAATAAATTACTTAAAAAATATTAATAATTTCTATGTAACTCTTGGTATTTAAATAGGTGATACAATTGAAATATTCAAAACTATTTTCCTTGTAGTTTTTAACTAATTAGTAATAATATCAAATATCATCTAAATTCGTCCAGATCAATTCCTTCCGAAGTAACCCAATCAAGTTATATAATAACGGCAGATAATGTTATATTCTGGAGTCACGTCTACTATGGAGTTACTTCCTCTTCCTAAAAGTTTACTCTGATCTACGATTTCAGATGACCAAGCTAGAACTATTGAACAGTTATCACTGAGTAGATTTCCGCATGAACTGGTTATCCAATCACCTCAAACTGTCGATTTTACGTTGAAATCACATGCATCTAACATTTTAGCGCCAAAGCACCATTGTTTGGTGCTGCATTCAGTGATGCAATGGCAATTATAATATGCAATCCAGCCACCCACATAGCAATTTCAATATATTAATATTGTCAAAATATTCTTACAAAATACTTTTTAAAATATTTTGAATAAAATATTGTGACAATATCTCATAAATATAATAAAAAATATATTCTATTGAAATATTTCCATAATATGCTTACAATATAATTTTTTAAATATTTGTTTATGTATATTTTAAAAATATATTAAAGAGAATAAATACAGTATATTACACAGAAAATATTTGTACAATGTGCTTAAAATATATCTTTTTAAATATTTGCTTATAAACATGAAAATTTATTAATTAAAATAAATATAGAATATTTAACTTGAAATATTTGTTGAATATATTATCAACATAATTTTTTAAATATTATAAATATATATCTTGTTGGCCAACTGAGGTAACTTAAGAGATACAAGCCATCCTCTTTTCTCCATTTAGTTACATCTTTGGATGTTATTGGTATCTTGTTATATAATACTTATGTATTATATATACTGTAACGTGACAAAATATGAATTTTATGATATAGATAAATTTACTGTTTTGCTTTGCAAATGGGCGCGCGTACGTTATATCCGGCCGTGTAATCAGAAAACTGTACTGTTGCTGCCAAGGTGAACGCTATACACACAATATTCTTTATCAGTTTAATAATCGTTCCCTATATGACACATACACTGGCCACCACTGTCAATACCTGTATAATTTTAATATTGTTCATATTTTTATCTGTTTTATATTTTGTAAATCGTTAAGCCGATACCCTTTCCCAAACGTAATCGTCGTCGTCATTATGCCTCGCCCGGTGTGTAGGAAAAATTTGTGTTCTTTTCCCTTTGAACCACCGTTGTGGTATATAGTGGCTGTGTGCGTGCAGCCAATAATAGTTTTTTTCGTGTGTGTCATTCATTATAATAATGTACTAATTTAACCAGGCGTCGGCCATGTCCGGGGCCGAGATCCCCATCTTAGGATGAGTCCCATCCGGGACTGGGTATCGTATATTGTTTTTTTATTTTAATTAATATAATGTTTGAGTCTTTTTCTGTTTTAAAGTTATTTTTTTTATGAGCTGTATATAATTTTAGCTATAATTAATAAATACAAGGTTATTGGTCAGTGGTGTATATTTAATACATATATATATTATTCCCGCAGTGCCCAAGTACGGTCCGGCCGGCCAGATTACAGAAATTATCCGCCGCGCCCGGAGTACACGGACTTGTTCCGATGCGGAAGACACTTCACGTGTAATATTTAAAAGTTGTAGGTTAAATTTTTTTTTGTCTTAATAATTGTTTTTTTTTCTCTTTTGTCCCTTCATTTGCAGAGTGGTTTTAGCCTTCGGGTTTTGTCCACTATTAACTTAACTAATAATTTAATAAAATCCCCTTAATTTTCTTAATCAACAAAAATCTTTTTATTGCGTGAATATCTTCAATATTCACGTGTATCTTATTTTTTTTCCTTTAAATAATTCTCTCTAGTTTTAAGGTAACGGTCTTCGACATACTAAAGTATGTCTACCACTGGTGACATCAAACAAACATATTTGTTATATTTACCAGGTATCAGCGTATTATAGTCTACAACAACACTTTATATTTTAATATATATATATATAATTTTTTTTAATCCACTTAGTTTCATCAGAGTGTACATTATTTTCTTTAATATTATTAGTTTATTATTGTTTATTTTCTTAAATCCACTTATGGTCCGGGTGTTGTCCTTTTTATGATCAAGACCCTTGCCTAAGTTGTTTGGCGACCCTATTTCCTTTTTGCAAGGGAGCCATGAGGGTGGCGACTCCACAATCCGTTGCGTGGCCCAAGTCGTCACCTTTCAATACATATTCCTAAATCCTTAATAAGTAAACAGTTATTTTCTCTAATTAGTATCAATTTTGATTAACTTAATTCAATTAAGCTAAGTAAGTCAAAGACAGTAAAAAACCCTTGTTGCTATTATTTGCAGGCCTATCGAGTTAAATTTTTTTTAGTTTTTTAGTTAGTCAGCGCAATTATATCTTATTATTGTCCTGTGAAACTTAAAATCCTAAAAAGATTTTTTATTATAGTTAGAATATATTTCTATATTATCAACAATAAAAGTCAATTTCTAACTTACAAGGAGAGATCATGATGATGGGATCGTCGATTTTCAAAAAAATTATATGGTATCTAATCTAAATTGAATATAAAGTTGTATTTACTTTGAATTTTTTTAAACAGGAAAAATAACTTAATAGACAAATAACCATATGAACTACCTTAAATAGCCTTTTTTATCTACATACGATCGTAGCAACCTGTGGGTCAATTGGTAACGTACGAGTCCCAAAGCACTTGAAGTACGGGGTTTCAAATTCCGCGTAGCGGTCTAATTTTTTGCATTTTTTTAATATATTTATAAAACATTTTAAAAATATTGTCACAATATATTTTTTATAATATTTTAGAAATATACCTTTAAAATATTGTGAGAATGTAATATTCGCTCCAAAGTATATTCTGAGAACATTGTAAGAATATTTCAAAATATTCTGGTTATATTCTAGAAATATTTTAATATCAAAAATAAATATTCTAGGAATATTCTAGAAATATTTCATTGCTATGTGGGCAGATGCTTCACTTAATATAAAATCAAAAAGGTGAATATGCTACACGCTAAAAGTTTTATGGCCTCCCATACATGATGTTTTTTTTCTTAAATTAACTTAAGTATTCTTAAAAAATTTATTCATAAAATCTCAATTTGTCATTTTTACAATATATTACAATAATATTTCTATATATTTCTAAAATACTATGGTAACGTTACCAAAATATTATTATAATAAATTTACTTTAATATTAAAGAAATATTGTGATATATTCTCAGAACACAAGAATTTTGTCAAACATTATTTTTAGTAACGTTACTACAATATTCATGTAAGAACTACTTAGAAATATTTCTACCATATTATTTATAATATTATCATAATATTTTTAGATTATTACCTGGTTAGTGACCACTCATTAAAAATGGCACACTAAAATTAAAAAGTGATTTTATAAGGCATAAGGTATTAAAAAAGTTTTATGAAAGTAATTTTAATATTTATTAGATTTCAATCTATAATGGTACCCTTTAAGATCGGATCCACTATGACATATCTCAGTTATACTGTTTTTTTTTAGGGGAGGGGATTGTAACAGATTATAATGTCACAGCCATGTTTTTGTTTGCTTGGCATCCATTAAAAATATGAAAAAGGAAAGAATTCATATTATTACAGTTAACCAGGCGTGAATGAGCAGAAAATATGGAGAACAAAAAGTAGAAATAAATCCATTCAATTATTCAATAAATAGAAGATTTGAGTCCTAAAGCCACCATCTAACTCCTGCAGTTCACCCAAATTGTCGCCATCACTGAACAATTGCAGCTGTTGCCGACCTCATCCAACATTTCATCACCATTGTGTTACCTGTCGAGTCGTCTATATCTGACGTCGCTGCAATTTTGGTTCACTGGTCATTGTGACTTGAGCCAATCGTCGTCCAATACCAGCGCAATCACTGTCCGAAATCACTGCCGATGTGGATCTACGTCCGAAACCATTACCACCAAAGCCTCCACACTCAGCAGCCATCTTCACTGTTGACGTGGGTTTACACTGCTGTTGTGAAGTCTAGAATGTTGCAACTATCGTCCGGGCAACAGTCAACCTCTTGGCCCCCAACCCACATATGTAAGCAATGGTCGTAACATCAACGTTGATTGCGATATGTGTTCCTAGTGGATCTACATATGTGTGTTGTATAGGTAGTATGATGCTTATGTGATTAACCATCAGGGGAATCTCATCCCGAGTTACTTACGACTGAGGCCATAAGCAAATGTTCGGTCAAGATAAGTATTTGCAAAGATTATAGAAAATCCGAACGCATTGTTACCAAAAAGAGACTAGCAACTACGTAATATCAACCATGGGTTCAACGTCAACATCTGATATTCGGGACAGGGAAAAAATTAGACGCATAAAATATTTATAATTTTGCCGAACGTAAGATATTATAAAAATACTTATATAAGTGTAAATTGATTTTTGTGTGTATATAACTATTGTTATATTTAATTTAAAATGTGTATTTATAATATTTAGTGTAATTGAAGTTAATTGCATCACTATCCATGAATATTCAAAACTTTCATTGACTTAATTTTGTTTAACTTGCTTCAAAAATCCGATTTTAATCTAATTGAGGCTATTTTTGCACAAAATTATTTTAAAAAATTATCAATTTATATTTAGACACATATACCGAAAATAGACAACCGTCAAAAATGACAAATTCAGTTATTTTATTTCTAAATATTAAAATTGCTATAACTTTTAACAAACTCCATCTAAATAAAAATGATTTTTTTCTCAACTTAATTTTTTAAATATTCTGGAACGTCTAACATAACGAAAATTATATTAAATTTTAATGTACTATACGATTAAAAAAAGATGAGACGTTCCAGCGACTGATCTCTTATAAATAATCGACCTCTTAATATAAAGAATATATAATTTTTGGTACGTATAATTATTTGTTTTAATATGTTTCAAATTAACATCAAAACATTTTAGGACGGTAATTTTAATTACTGTCTGACATCTATTAATATTAAGTTAAAAAAAAATTTCTCATATACACCTCACTTGTCGCCAGCTGTACTTAAATTTGTAATTTAATCTAAACGAATTATTTTAATTTTACGATCCTTAACAAATAATATTATTAAATTTTAGATGCTTTGCACAATAATCTCATTCCCAGGCCGGTTTTCATTCTTCAATTAACATAAAAAACGTTTAGAAAATTTTGGTTCATAAAGATATCCAGGTTTTTTGTAACATGATTAAAAACTTAATAGAATTATTAATATAATGTATTGGATTTTGGTCAAACTATGAAAAATGGGTATATTTTAAGTAAGTTAAATGTCAAAAACGCTGTCAATAAAATTAACTCCATTAATATTTAAGACAATTTAATTACAATATAACGTAAATGGCCAACATGAATGAATATAAAAAATAAAGAAACAAAAAACTCATTAGGACAATTATTTTCATAAGCATAGTTTATTATGTCAAAATGAGAATATCGAGTAGCTTCATAAATCGTACTTCTACTTCAAGGACAAAAATGTTCATTTGCGTATTTTAAGCAACGAAAATGACCATTAGCAGCAGCAAGTCTTGTTGTGCTCTCGTCCCAATCACATTCATTTTCATGGGCATATTTTAGGCAGTTTAAATGTCCATTTGCAGCAGCTCCACTTTTTGTCCCTTCATCCCATTTACAACCATTTTCATGTGCATATATCATACAGCTCATATAACCACTCGCAGCAGCTTCTCTTGTTGTACCTTCGTCCCAATCACAACCATTTTCATAAGCATATATTAGGCAGTCTAAATGTCCATTTGCTGCAGCACCTCTCATTGTACCTTCGACCCAATCACTTAGACATGTATGACAATATTTTAAACAATCTAATTTACCATGTGTGGCAGCTGTAACTATTGTATATTCATCCCAGTTACATCCATTTTCATTAGCATATATTAAACAATCTAAACAGCCGCTTGCTGCCGCAGCTCTAGTTGTACCCTCATCCCAATTACACCCATTTTTATGAGCATATACTAAACAATCAAAACAGCCACTTGCTGCAGCAGCTTTAGTTGTACCTTTATCCCAAACATATCCATTTTCATTGGCATAAATTAAGCAATCTAAACAGCCGCTTGATGCAGCCGCTCTAGTTGTACCTTCATCCCATTTACATCCATTTTCGTGGGCATACTTTAAAATGTCAAAAAATCCACCTTCAGCAGCAAGTCTTATTGTACTTTCATCCCAATTACATCCATTTTTGTAGGCATATATTATACAATCTAAATTACCTGTTACATACATTGAGATTATTATCAATTATAATATCATTTTATGTTATCATATAAGAAATATTTACTTTCCCTGTGAATACTTCCACGGCTCCTCAGCGAGTCGTAAGAGGCGACTAATGAGGTTGCTTTAGGTCGACAACTGGCGTAAAAATTTTTGTCAAATAATATTAGGTGTCCTGAACAAAACTTAGTCGGATTGTTCCATTTCGGATGTATGCGGGGACAACAGGTGAGAGGGAAAAAGTAGTTAAAAACGGAGAAGGCCTAAGGAATAAAGTGTTTGATACCAGATGAACAAATTGCGCGGTAGCTGTTTCATCAGTCAAGTTTACAGGTCTACACAACGTTTTTAGTGTCAATAGTATAGGGACATCACTATTTAACTCTAGGCTGGATTTGTGTATAAGGGAGAAAGATAGATACAAAGTAAGAATAAGTACTTGGAATGTTGGAACATTAACTTGTAGAAGTAGAGAATTAGTAGAAATATTGAAGAGGAGAAAATTTAACATTTGCTGTGTGCAGAAAACTAAGTGGAAAGAAAAGAAATTGAGGAAAATATATGAGAGTTATAAAATAATATAATCATGTAAGTCTAATACAAAGAATGGTGTAGGAATAATAATGGATGAGGAGATAAAAAGTAAAGAAGTAGAAGTAGCTAGGAAAAGTGACAGAATTATAGTCGTAAAATTGATATTCGAGAAAAAAGTGCCTATGCACTACAAATACGATGTGATGAAATAGACAAAGGAGTGTTTTGGAGACATAAATGATATGTGTTATAGTTTTACTAGATGTGTAAAAAATACTGCAAAAGAGATTGTTGGTGAGAGTAGGAGTAGAATTCCAGGAAACAATGAAACCTGGTGGTGGGGTAAGGACGTTCAAAAAATCACAGAAAGTAAGAAAAAGCAATTTAAAATATGGCAGAAAAGTAAAAGGAGAGAAGATTGGATGGAGAATAAACGCTTATACAAAGGTCAAAAGATTATCATTATATAAGATCTATAAAAAGTGTTGATAATAAGGTACTCTCGAGTGATGATGATGTGAAAAAAAGGTGGAAAGAGTAATTTAAAAAATTACTGAATGAGGAGTACCCAAAAGAGACATTAGAGGATATCTCATGAAATGAGGGACTGGTAGATTTATTTAGCGAAAATGAGGTATGTGTGGCTGTGGCATCAATGAAAAAGAATAATGCAGTAGGACCAAATGAAGTGCCAGTAGAAGTATGGAAAATATTAGGCGGTGTTGGCACAATGTGATTAATGGAACTTTTAAATAAAATCTTATTAGATGGCCAAATTCTAAATGAATAGAGGAATAGTATTGTGGTGCCGATATTTAAAAGTAAAGGTGACACACAGAAGTGTGGAAATTATAAAGGCATAAAACTTATGAGTCATAGTATGAAAGTTTGGGAAAAGGTAATAGATAAGAGGATAAGAACCGAGTCATAGGTATCTAAAAACCAGTTTGGATTTATGCCTGGTATGTCAACAATGAAGCCATTATTTTGTGTGAGGCAACTAATAGAAAAGTTTAGGGAAAAAAAGAAAAAGTTATATATGGTATTTAGAGATTCGGAGAAAGCGTATGAGGAGTAACAAAAGGTGTCCAATTAGGCTGAAAGGTAAATTATACAAGATTGTAGTGAGTCCAGCTATGATGTATGGTTCAGAGTGTTGGTCCGTTGATAAGAAAGTAAATCAGAGAATGAGTGTAGCAGAGATGAGAATGCATAGTTGGATGAGGGAAGTAACTAGAGAAGATAGGATAAGGAACTAGCATATAAGAGAGAGTATAGGTGTAGTTGTGAATGAGATGAGAGAAAATAGACTTAGATTGTTTGATCATGTTATAAGGAGAGAAGAACCGGAAGCTGTAAGAACAGTTATAGAAATGAATGTTGAAGGAAGAAGAGGTAGAGGAAGACCAAAAAAAGAGATGGAGGGATCCTATTTAATACGATATGAGGACAGCTGATATGATCATAGATAATGTGGGAGATCGTGTCAAGTGAAAGTTTATGATAAAGGTGGCCGACTCCATGTAGTTGGAATTAAGGCGAGGAAGTAGACGATATCAGAAATATATATATATGTTTTTGTAAGTTTTGTATGTCGTGTTTTCTTTTAAGAAATAAAGTTTTAATATAATAAGCACTAATATTAAATCAAGTGATAAAACATGGCGCTGTCAAAATTAAAATTAATCTTACCTACGAAATAAAATATAACGGAATTCGACTCGATAATAACTGAGAAAATATTTAAATTATAGTAAATAGCCCTTTTAAAGTTTACTGGAAATTGAAGTATATTTTTTTGATGGGTCACAGTATGTGTGGATGTGGCTTCGTTGAGATAAGTATAAATGATATCTAATAATGATTAAAATCACTATAATAGGAAACGCTACAATGCAAATCTGTAGATAATGATTAATTTTAAGAAATTGGTGGATTATTCCAAAAGCAAAATTAACTCCTTTTTCCTTATTTATATCTCTATTAAAAATTGTATTATATATAAGTGTAATATATGAATAAGTATTTAAGAATTTAAATGTTTAATGTCAATATTATTAAATATTTTATAAATTTGTTCTGCTATAACATTGAAAATAAATCGTCGGGTCAATTTTATTTTTTAAACTTATTGTACGTGATATAAGCTATAATTAAATTATTGTTTAAAGAACGCAGATTTCCGGAATGTTATCAAAACTTAAGTGAAATAAGTTCTACATTACCGACGTATGTTTCAAATTTTGAACTTGAAGTTTTCAAATAAAATTAAAATTTGAGAATAATGAGGAAAATGAATTTTAAAATGCTACTGCAAATGATGTTGTATTAAATAAAGTAAGTGAATTTCCCAAAAATTGCCGGCATAAGTGCAATGTTAAAGGAGAATTCAAACACTATTTTAAAATAAAAAATAATAATAGCTAAGTTTACTTAGGGTTTAAGTTAATAGTTTCAAGTAAGTAAAAATGTATGTTTTATAGAAATTTGATAATGCTCATTTAGGTATTACTAAAATTATAAAACTTTCCTGTTTATTACTTTATTGGCCAGTTATTAGTTCTAAATATGAGAATTAAATAAAGTCATGTAGCATATGTTTAAAGTATAGTAGATTTAATGTATAAGTACCATCAATCAAGAATCATAATTTAAAAAGTTCCAAAAATACTTTTCAATAATGTTAGTGTAGACATTGCTGAGTTTCAACAATAAAATTATTTAGTGTTATGTAAATAATACTCTAGATGGTTAGAAATTAACAAATTAAAAGGGAAAAGAACTAATGAAGTTATTGAAAGATTAAAATTAATTTTTATCAAATTTGGTATTTCCAAAATATTTGTTGCCGACAACAACCCTTTTAATAGTTGTGAATTGAAAACTTTTTTTAAAAATAGGATTTTCATCTTGTAACTTGTAGTCCTCGCTGTCATCAAAATAATGGGCTAGATGAGAAAGTTATTAATATTTGTAAAGATATGATGAAAAAAGCACAGAAAGGAGTTGATTAGATATATTTTTACTACATTATAGAAATAATCAATCATTAGGTTTCTGCTAATCACCAGCACAACTACCATACTGTAGAGGTTATTGACGTTAATTAATAATTTTAATGACAAATATTTAGAATCAGTAGTTTTAAAGTTTCTGAAGAATTCAATAAAAATAAAGGAAAAGCAATAAAATATTATTGTAAAAATGTTGGAAAATTAGTGAAAGATTTTCACCCAGATGAAATATTATTAATTCAAAATAAGTTTATTAAAAAGTCGTTACAAGGTATTATTATTAAAAAAAATTAATTATCCTAGGTCTTATATGGATAAGGATATAAATGGAAGATCTCTTAGACGAATCACAAGGGTCATAAATAAGCTTAAAGAGTTTTTGGTCGGAGTAGATTTAACCGAATTATTAAGACAAATAAACGTTACACTGATTGATGTAGCATCATTTAATTTTGTTTTGGCTGTATAATTTTACTGTCAATTATATAAAAACAAAAATGTACATCTTTTGTTTGTTAACAGATAATTTGATTTAGTTTTGTTTTAATTTTTTATCCCTTTAAATCCCTTTTAAAGGGAGGTGTTACATACACTGGAGTTATTATCAATCTTATTACTATTTTGTTATGATATAAGAAATATATACACGTTTTTGTAAGTTTTGTTGTCATGTTTTTTTTTTAAGAAATAAAGTTATAACTCAATGACTTAATTAATTTTATAAAAAATACTAATAAAAAACCTAGTGTTATAAAAGATATAACATTACCTTCTGAAGTAGCAGCTCTAATTGTGCCATCATCCCAACCACATCCATTTTCGTGAATATATTTTAAAATTTCAAAATTTCCTTCTAAAGCAGCAGCTCTAGCTGTACCATTAGCCCAATTACATCCATTTAAATGAACATAAATTATGCAGTCGAGAGAACCACCTTCAGCAACATATCTTGTTGTGTCATCATCCCAATTACATCCATTTTCGTAGGCATATTTTAAACATTCTAAATATCCGTTTATAGAAGCAGCCCATATTGTATCTTCATGCCAGTCACATCCATTTTTATGGGCATATATTAAACAATCTAAATTACCACCTGAGGCAGCAGCTCTAGTTGTGCCTTCGTCCCATTTACATCCATTTTCGTGAGCATACTTTAAACATTCTAAACTACCATAGGTTGCAGCTGCTTCTGTAGTTTTTTCATCCCATGGACATCCATTTTCATATAAATATTTTAAACATTCTAATTTACCATATTTTGCAGCTGATTCTGTTGTGTTTTCATCCCATGGACATCCATTTTTATGTGCATATATTAAAATATTTATATTGCCCTGTTTAACAGCCTCATTAGCTGTCCGTTCATCCCATGGACATCCATTTTCATGTGCGTATTTTAAAATGTCTAAATCATCATTAAAAGCAGCAGCTTCAGTAATGGTTTCATCCCATTCGCATCCATTACTATGTGCATATATTAAACATTGTAAATGTCCAGTTACAGTAGCAACCCATATTGTATCATCATGCCAATCACATCCACTTTCGTTTGCATATATTAAACAATCTAAATTACCTATTGCGGCAGCAGCTCGAGTTGTACCATCATTCCATTTACATCCATTTTCGTGGGCATACTTTAAACATTCTACACTACCATAACTTGCAGCTGCTTCTGTTGTTTTTTCATCCCATGGACATCCATTTTCATATAAATATTTTAAACATTCTAAGCTACCATAGCTTGCAGCTGCTTCTGTTGTGTTTTTATTCCATGGACATCCATTTTTATGTGCATAAATTAAAATTTTTATATTATTTCGTTTGACAGCCTCAGTAGCTATCCGTTCATCCCATTCGCATCCATTTTCATGAGCATATTGTAAACATTCTAAATGTCCAGTCACAGCAGCATACCAAATTGTATCATCATGCCATTGACATCCACTTTTGTAGGCATATATTAAACAGTCTAAATTACCTATTGAGGCAGCAGCTCGAGTTGTACCATCATCCCATTTACATCCATTTTCGTGGGCATATTTTAAACATTTTAAACTACCATAACTTGCAGCTGCTTCTGTTGTTTTTTCATCCCATGGACATCCATTTTCATATAAATATTTTAAACATTCTAAACTACCATGGCTTGCAGCTGCTTCTGTTGTTTTTTTATCCCATGGACATCCATTTTTATGTGCATATTTTAAAATGTCTAAATCATTATTAAAAGCAGCAGCTTCGATGATTTTTTCATCCCATTCGCATCCATTTTCGTGTGCATATTTTAAACATTCTAAATGGCTATATTGTGCAGCTGCCATTGTTGTAGATTTATTCCATGGGCATCCATTTTTATGTGCATATTTCAAACATTCTAAACTACCGTAAATTGCAGCTGCTTCTGTTGTTGATTCATTCCATGGACATCCATTTTTATGAGCATATTTTAAAATTTCTAAATTACCTTTGATGGCAGCTGTAGCAGTTGTACTTGCATCCCATTTACATCCCTTTTCGTGAGCATATACTAAACATTCTAATCTTTCACACGCTGCTGCCATTCTAGTCGTATGTTCATCCCATTCATGTCCACTCTCATAAGCTAGTTTTAATATTTCTAAGTCACTTTTTTCTGTAATATATATATTATCTTCTTCGATTTGGTTGACACTTTCGTCATCTGAATATCTATTTTCATACGCTAGATTAGCACAATCATTAATTAGTTTTTTCTGTATTATAAAATATATATACATAAAAACTATGTTTTCAGAATATGACTTTTTAATTTAAATTTTTCAAAGTTTTAAAAATTAAAAAAGAACTACCCAGTATGAAGAATTACTTTAAGTCTTTAGCTTCTGTAATTGAGTGTTTTACATTAATAGTATGATTTTGTATAGTCTTGGGATATTAAGAATGCATACAGTTAAGTAGGGCATTACTTAAATATAACTTTAATCAAATTTTAGCTTTGATGCGAAGCTGAGAAGATATTAAATTTACTATGATGTGCTTTTTTATTTTTTAAGTCTGTTAGCACTTATTCTCAGCTCTCACTGGACCGATTTTTATGAAAAATACGTCAAAAGATCACAAATTGTATTTAGTCGAAGACATTATCCTCAATTATTAAAAAATTCCACCATTTCCCATAAATAGGGAAAATCGCAAAAAAAATTCCAATTATAAAAATTGGTAATTTTTGAAATTTTTCAATATTTTTTTCTAAAACTGCCTTAACTGTTTAAAAATAGAACAACTCAATATGATTTTTTTTTTATTGACATCTTAGGTATTTACCTAGTCTTTAATATATTTTTGCGAACATTTGACCCTTTATCTGTCCACAGAAGAAGTTTCAAAATGATAATTTTTCCAAAAAAAATAAATTTTTGAACATCACTTTTGAAATAATCCCGAAAATACTAACTATTTTATAAACAGAGTAGCCCAGTACACACTGACTACTTCAATAACTTTTGATCCTGTTAAAATTTTTTAATTTTTTTTTTTTAATATTTAATATCCTTGAGGGCTATAATAATAATGTAATAAATATCATTTTTATCATTAAATAAGAAAATTATAATTTTGAAAATTTACGAGAAATCTTTAAAAAGAATTCAAAATGGCCATTTTTTAGAATAAATTTTAAGAAATAATTTGGTGGAAAAATTTCTCATTAATGTTCTGTAGTTAATTTTCTGTAACATTTTAAATTTCGTAAAAACTAGAATTTTTCTGTATTTATTCTACGGTATCAAACGCTGGCTATGTTTTATAAAAAAAGACAGAAGTAAACACAATCTTTTCATACTAAATATGATATGCGTATGAATTTTTCCATGAAAATTTTTAACGTTCTAATGACCGGGTGTATTCAAATAATAACAAGGATAATACCTATTACCAGTGGCGCAACTTGAGTTCAAATCTTGGGGGTGCTACAATTACAAATCACATACACATTACATATTTACTAATTATTTACAGTAATTACTAATTAGTATTAGTTATGTAATATATAATTATAAAATATAATATAGATTTTGTTACTTTTAGTCCTTATAACAATTTCAATTGGTATATACAAATAATTTATTTACAATTGTTGTTTAAAGTATTAAGTATATTTTTGTGTTCAATTGTGCGTCGTGGTAATCTTCGTTGTTTGTTATATGCAAGTATAAGTAGTTTAATAATTACGTCTTTTCGTATATTAAGTCGTACTATCTTTTATATAATTTGTTTTTTGATAATATTGCTACTATCAACATACGCTTTAAAACATTAGCTAGTTTCTTCTTCCACTTGTTAGAGAATAAAATACTCAAAAGAGATATTGGTTCACTTAAGGCAAAAATTAGTAGTCTTGAAGAGAACAATTCGTCTGCTAACCCATCCACAATCACTAGCCAGGTTTTGTAAGAACTATTTGAACGAGATCGTTGTTCTTCCAATGTGATTGCTTATGGTGTATTAGAGTCTACTTCTTTAACTGGTTCTGAGAGAGTTCTACATGATGAATCCATGATTAAAAATATTTTGTTGCCGGTTAGAAATTCCTTCCAACAAATCGGATTGGGAAACCACGTCCAGGTATTACCCGCCCACTTAAGCTAATATATACTAACAAAGAGGAAGCACAATTTTTGCTGTACCATACAACCAGGTTAAGCGGTCAGGTACTCAATTCCAAAATGGGTTTAATCTTGTCAAGGATAAAACCAAATTTGAACGACAACTATTACGTGCTTGTCACAATGATTTGTTGTCTCGTACAGCTCAAGGTGAAACAAATCTACGTATATATTATGAAAATGGTGTTCCATCTGTGGTCAAATCAATTCCAAAAAACCGGGTCCGTGAAAACATACCAATCGACAACCAGAGATTCAGCTAATTTCTCAACTTTCATAGTTCAGCCTTGTACACTAGGTTTGCATGAGCATATATATTTTTATAATAAATGCCAAGTCCACTCTTAGTACTTTTATATTAGATTTCTACAATTTTAAAATTAATAAGTCTTGTCCTCGTGATTTACCTACAATTAGCTATACTACGTCGAATGATAATGTTCCGTTTGGTTTTTACCAAAACTGTCGTGGTCTTAGGACTAAATTTTTTACTCTTAAGTGTAATCTTGCCAGCTTTAATTATGTATTTCTTGTTTTAACAGAAACCTGGCTTAATTCTGATATATTTGATTCTGAATTATGTTTGGATATATATAATGTTTACCGATGTGATAGAAGTATTTTAATGAGTAATTGTACTAGAGGTAGTGGTGTCCTTATTGCTGTGCATAAAGATTTTCATTCACAAATTGTTTCTATCTCTAATTTAAGTATTGAACAAATTTATGTTAGTTTTAGTTGTAATAATGACAATTTTATAGTTGATGGTGTATATTTTCCTCCTAACTCTCCTAATCAATCCTATGATACTTATTCTAGCACAATTAAAAATCTAGTTTGTTGTTATAGCACCCATAGTTTTATTCTATATGGTGACTTTAACTTACCTAATATTAATTGGTCTAATGATAATTTAGGTATTTTCTATTCAATGGCTACCGAAAACAGCCTATTCTGAGACTTTTGCTTTCTTAAACTTTTATCAAGTTAATAATGTTTTGAACGTTTACAATTCAATGTTAGATCTTATATTTACAAATAAGAATCTCTTTAAAGTTAATATGGTGCACGATCCAATTGTTCTTGAAGATCGATATTATCCTGCATTAGCTATTGATTACCCAACAAATAAAAAAATCCATTCTTTCATGCCGTTGAATCATATTTTAATTTTACGAAAGCAGATTATACACGTATTTCAGATTTTTTCCTATCTTATAATTGGTTGAATACTTTTACTCAACTAGGCGTTAATTCAGCTACATCAACTTTGTATGATGCATTACACTTCTCTATTCTTCACTGGGTTCCACGTGTTAACTATAATAAATCTAATTTTCCTTGATGGTTTTCAAAGGATTTGATTGATACAGTGTTCCAAAAAAGAAAAGCCTACGCCATTTTTAAGGCAACACGTAATCCACTCGATTACAGAAAGTTTTCTCTACTACGTGCAAAATACAAATTTTTATCGAAAAATTGTTACAGAAAACTTATTGAACAGACTGAATCTAATTTTTGTATTAATCCAAAAAATTGTTGGAACTTTGTAAGATAGAGTAAATCACAACAGTCAATTCCTAAAACAATTAATTTGAATGGGTTCACTAGTACTAATAGTATAGAAGTTGCTAATCTATTTTTTAAACTAGATAATTTCATTATCTAGCCATTTAGTCAAACTGTTTGATTTATTAGTATTGCATTCTATTAAACCAGCTATTAATTTGGTTTTAATTGATGAGTAACATGGATTTCGTCCTGGTCGCTCAATGACTACAAACAGTCTAGTTTTCACTAATTACATATTTGAGGCTTTTATGAATCGCTCACAAGTAGATGTAATTTACACAGACTTTAGCAAGGCTTTTGATCGCGTTGATCATAAGTTATTAATGAGAGTGCTGATAGATTCAGGTTTTGGTGAACCATTATTGTTGTGGTTTGAATCTTATCTACGAGATCGTAAGCAATTTGTTAAAGTACATGGTATAAAATCAGATATTATTGATGTACATTCTGGTGTTCCACAAAGTGGACATCTTTCTCCCTTGTTATTCACATTATTTATCAATGATATTAAACTGTCATTTCCTTCTCTTTGCTGATGACTTCGAACTATTTTTAAAAATTAATTCATTTAGGTACTGCTTATTATTACAGGACGATCTTAATTCTCTGGTAAATTGAGCTAAAAATAGTAGGTTGGAGCTGAATATTTCAAAATGTCATTCAATGTCGTTTTATAGAACTCGTGATCATATTAATTACTTGTATAGGGTTAATGATAATATATTGTTATCTTCGTGCAATATGATTACTGATTTGGGTATTGTTTTCGATCGGGAATTTTCATGCTCACCTAGACAAAATGTGTTGCAAAGCATTCACGACATTAGGTTTTATTAGGCGAATTTGTAATGATTTTAAATTAGTATCTTTTTTAAAAACTTTGTATTCTTCTTTTGTAAGGTCAATTTTAGTTTATGGTTTGATTGTTTGGGATCTAGTTACTGCATGTGATATGATGCAAGTTAAACGACTGCAACGTAAATTTTTTAACTTTGCGGCATATAAATTAAAAATTGATCATCCACCACATAACTATAAACCAAAAATGCAACTATTCGGTTTGTTTACGTTAAATGACAGGAGACTTGAAGCTAATCTAACTTTCCTCAGGCGTCTTATTGATGGTCATATAGACTCTCCTGAACTATTAGAGCTCATCAAATTTAAAGTTCCATCTTTTCACGCACGTCATTTAATTCTTTTATCTGTACCTAAATGTAATNACGTAATCCGCTCGATTACTGAAAATTTTCTCTACTACGAGCAAAATACAAATTTTTATCGAAAAATTGTTACTGAAAATTTTTGAACCCAGTGAATCTAATTTTTGTATTAATCCAAAAAATTTTTGGAACTTTGTAAGAAAGAGTAAATCTTAACAGTCAATTCCTAAAATAATTAATTTGAATGGGTTTACTAGTACTCATAGTATAGAAGTTGCTAATCTAATTCTTTTTTCTGTACCTAAATGTAATACCAACTACCT